TTGGTTTGACTTTGTGAGGTTTCAGCATTTGGCCATCAACTTTGCAGAGTCCAAGACTGAAGAGCGGAAGCGGATCATGAACGAAGGCATCGAGGAGGGTCAACAAAACGCAAAGGGCCAAAGGGTACGTAGAAGATGCGTCGAGGAATAGCTACGAAGGCTGCATCGTGAGAATAGCCAGCATGGCAACAACTACCGCTACTACCATCACCACTACCACTACGGCACCCCCATGCCCATGCCCCTACCCTGGCCCTCCCCCGTACTGTTGCCACCCCCACCCGCAGCACTAACCGCGGTGCTACCGCTTCGACTACCACTACCACTGCCACTGCCATCGCCACTGCCACTGCCACTGCCAGTGCCGCGACCACTACCACCGCCGCTCCTGCTACTCATGCTGCTACTCATGCTACGGCTACTGCTACTACTGCCACTGCCTACTACCCACTACCTTCTGCCTGCTACCTACTAGCCTACTACCTACCACATCACAATGATTGCTGCTACTGCTGCGCCCACCATCGCTCCCACTCTAGCAGTCTTGGTATGATGCCGCAGAGCAGAGATTGTTTATGGGTAACGCAAGTGTCGCATGAGGAAGTCGGAAGCAACAGGAATGGGTAGTTTAGAAGCAGTACGTATTATCGTCTGCCTTGAGGCTGACGCTCGGACCATGGAGCTACATGATCTTAGGCTCCACGTTAACGACCGCCGTGGGGCACAGGCTGACAGGAAGCATGGAAGGCAGTCCATGGAGCAGATGACCTCCGCCACCGCAGGATCCCGCACGCTGCGCGTTCCCGTTCTGTGCCCCTGGTTGGAGCTAGCGCCCGACCCGTCATCTCTGCGGGAAAAGATGTTTGCACGTGGGGAGCTGTCCTAGCATGAGGCCTTGCGTGCATGCTAGAAGTGCTATACCGTGAAGGCACAGCAGATTCAGGGGAACTGCATATGGGTTCGCAGCAGTTGTAGGCGCAGCTTGGTGCTTCTGTCTGTATTGTCCAGTCGTGCAACCCCGGGCGAGGATCGTATAGAAACAGGCACAACAGGACGATCTTAAGCCTTAAGCCTTCTTAATGCCAGAAGGCGCCACGTCGCCGTCCGCAGTTGGGGGCTCTTGTCCTTCTCGGAACTTCCTTCACCCACCATGGAGCGGCCTTCCTGACCAATTAGCCCCGAAGCAGAGCTTGGAAAGCTTCCTTCCAAAGGACCTGAAGAAAGCCGGTTTTGGGCTTAGTCGAGCAAGCTTGCGGATGTTGGGATTTGGGTTCTCCGCATGAGCTTCTATTAATACGCACGTGCCTGTCTATCAGTATCTGTCCGTTTGTCGGTTGTGATATAGTCACCAAATTGCGGCGCAATGATCACTACTGTAGCGGTAGCACAGACTACAGAAAGCGCAAAGTGAAAGTTTGTCTGTCTGTCTGTCTGTCTGTCCGCATGGATATATCTACGAATGAATATATGTATGTATGTCTGCATGCATGTATGTGTATGTGTGGATAATACTGTTAGGGGGAATTTTGCGTCCGGAGAGTCCCTTCCCAGGCTTCCTGAGTTGAGTCCGCGGGCATTGGCCGCTGGCGTTTGTGGTTTCACGGATGTGGTGGAGTAGTTCGCTTTGGGCTATTTCGTATTTCTGCCATTCATGCAGTATCGTGCCGTGGTGTATTTGGGCCGTGTAATTGACCCCAGGTTCAGTATAGTGTCAATGTGCAGTATTCTTTACGCTGGGTCGTATTGGTGATGTGGGGACGTGGCCATGAAGTAAAGCACACCTCACACCGATTGGCACTTCCCGCACTTGCGTGAGAGCCCAGCCGACTGAGGGAAGAAGATGCAGCTGCTGGTGAAGTATGTCGGCGAAACGGAGAAGGTGCGGGCCGTACTTGCCAAAGTCTGAGTGTCGATGCCTTTGCCTGCATTATCTTGCTAGGAGCGGGATGCTCTGAAGAAGGAGCGGGACGCGCTGAAGAAGGAGTTGGAGGTGGGCGGTACCAAGGGCTCAAGAAAGCATAAGCAGGACTCTTGAGGCACTGCCGCAGCCGTGGGCCAGAAACCGCCTGTTCCATTGTCAGGAGAAAGAGGCGTTGCTTCGCAAATACAAGCAGGCTGCGGAGTCTTTCAAGGCCAGACTATCGGGGTCGGATTTGCTTGCAGGGTGGCTTGGTATAGGCAGCACTGAATAGGAGTAAAACCGCTAACGCACACGACAGGCCACAAATAGTTCTCGAAGTTCAACCCCGGAACCCTTAAGGCTCTAAACACACACTGAACTGACAGGAGGTGCTGCTAGACGAGGAGGCGCGCTATGGAGCATTGGGCTCTTGATTTGAAGCTCATGGGGTAGCCAACCATTGCTCATAGAAGACATGGCCATGACCATAGATCTGATTGTTAGCAAAGTCAGTCGTCAGCTGTAGGATCGTTGTTATCGGTACCATCCATCACTAAAAATACAAGAGACGATACGTTACACGTGCATTTTGGTTGTATCATGCTTGCGGTCATTTCCGGTACTCCTGAGCATGGTCGTTGCTGTGTGCAAAGCTGCCGCTGAAGGTTCAGGTGACCCCGACTACGAAGGTCGAGCCGGAGGCCTCGGCACAGCCTCTGCTAGAATCATCCCGATTCTAGGGCGGTCCTGGTGTCCTAGTCACGACCAGTCAGATTAGCGAGAGGAGCAGTGACCGATCAATACGAGCAGCCTGCGAATTGTTTGCGCAAGTCGGCTGTTAACTCGACAGTTTTGCAAAGCGGAAGGATTTGTCGCTTCACCACTTAGTTTACTCTAAGAGACCGGAGAGGCTTGAACAAATTCCGAAGCTGGATCCTCGCGAGTCAGCAGCTCGTCCTCAGACGACAGGAGGAGCTGGACGAATTCAGCCGGATCATCTTCGAGAACTTCGCCGAAGAGAGGAAGCAGGCCCCCGACCCTGCATGGACTTGCTGACGGTCTCACGGCTTTAATGTTCAGATCTTCAGGATGCATGGTTCCAGGTTTTGCCAAGCATGTGGGATTTTGTTGCAGGGAGCTCAGCAAAGCACGCTTAGCCTCAGCATGAACATGAAGAGCGTGAGTAAGTCTACCTAGACACACACACACACACGCACACACCGCATCAAAGAAGCTTACAGTCAGTAATGTACATGACATCACATGACAAAAAGAATGATGTGCTGACAATCTGCATGTCAATCGGTACTCTTCCGCCGATCTTCCGCCGATGTAGCGCTCATGTTGCATGGTGCCCTTAGAGGTACCAGGTACCATTCGTGTGCTGTTTCCTCTCTTGGCCTGTACTCTTATGTACGTGTGTATGTACCGTACCGACATATGTGTGCAGATACTCTGCACGTGCATACGCACATATCAATGGGCTTTGTACCTCAGACAGTAATCAAGGCAAATTACATATCTCGACAACACTCTGGACTGCTGCGGACTACACTAGGACATACATGAAGTAATCTTTATCAAGGAATGAATATAAAGTGCCCAGCCAACAAATCTTCGTGGAGGTTGTGCGCAATTGTAAGTTGCGGCGTCAAATCGATTGTTGAGGTGTCACTTCCAATGGTTTGCTGGTAATACATACGGCGGTCAATTATCAAAAACGGATGGCCCCCTGCATGCCCAGAAAGATGAGTTCGGTCTCATCAGTCCCTCGTACATGACCCTCGAGGACAGCCAGTCTTAGCCCTAGGGCTCGTCTTCGGAGTTACAGTCTGTGCTGGGGCTTTGGAGGTCGGAGGTTAGCCTTGGGCCGCGTTTCGAAGCTGTGTCTTCATGTTACGTGCAGCTGGGGCTCACTCACTTCAGCATCGTTGCGTTGTAAGGTGAGTTTCGGGAGCACAGTCCCTTGGCTTTCCGATGCCGGACTTGCGCTTCCGAAATCCATGTGATGGGAAGTCGGGTCTCCGATGTGCCGCAGGAATGCCGTCAAGAATGCGAACTGCCCTGGCCTCGGCGTGGGCGCTAGTCGTCTTCTGGGGTATCTATCTCAGAGCTCAACAGCAGCGTCGGTGCTTCTTCCTGGTCTCCCGAGCTGCAGCGGTTGAGATCCTTTCGGGGCTTCGAGGCCTGTGCGATTCGGCCTTGGAGTCCCTTGCCGAAGCAGAAACCCTCAGAGAGAGCCATGCCTGCTGGATGAATCTGAGAGGCCCAAGGACCCTCAAAGTCCTGAGGCCTAAACCTCGCTAAACCCAAAAGATACTAAAATACATCAAAGGATACAGTATACTATAGTGTAGCATACGGTGGAAAGATATATAGATAGACAGATAAAGTGATATAGGTATAGTTATAGATAAGATAGGGAACAGGATAGAGATAGAAAGCTATATAGGTAGGTAAGTAGGTAGGTATGTATGTATACATACACATACACAGCTACACACGCACACAGATTTTTTCGAAAACATATATATATATATATATGTATGTATGTATGTATGTATGTATGTATGTATGTATGTATGTATATGCACATGTATATATGTAGAGAGTCCGTATGGACTCCTGAGCCGCCCCAGGCGTGGCTTGGATCCCGAGGGCGGCCTCGGACATCTCCGCGCGCGGGTGCGCGCCGCGCGGGCCAAAGACCGCCTCAGCGCGGGCGTCCGCAACGGCCACGGAGACTGAAAAGTGAAAGTCCGCTTTGCATCCAGGTCGGAGGGGAGGGGGGTGAGGAAGGAGAGAAGCCGGAGTAGTCTTGGAAACATAGCTTCAGAAACACAGCTTAAGTGCAGAAACCCTCATCTCTGTATTCAGCTTCGGGTATTGACGTCGTCAACCCCAAACCGCAAGCCGGAGGCCAGCAACAACCCTCGCTCCATTTTATGTCGATGCTCCCTTCCCGACCCGCGGCCCGACAGCCGGAATCGGATACATGGCAAGCTGGAGCTGAGCCGGATCTGGAGCCCCGTATCCTTGCCGCAGCCTCTGCGCGTCGAGCTTGCTTCGGCGAGACATAGGTTTCTGGCCCTTCTGGCCGATGGTACACCTGGAGGAGGAGCCGGAGGGGTTAGTCAGACAACTTTCGCGAGTTGGGGCCGGCAGCCTGAGACAACGCCTCCGGCCTCCGAGCACGAACCCCCAAACTCCAAGCTTAGGCCCAAAACCCGAGCCCTGAGCCCCTAAATCCTGGTCCTAGTCCCCAGACCTCAAGCCCCGCACCACAAACCCCGAAACCTACATCTTGGAGCCGCTCGGCGCAGGTTCGCCCTGATTCTGGCAGGCGCCATGAGCTCACCAAGGTCGCAGACTGCCCGGACACTCTAGATTCTCGGGCCGGCCAGAGCAAGGTTGGTTTTGGGGCTCGTCTTCTTGTTGTTAAAGACTCTTCTCATACCTTGTTATGGAAAAGGATGTGTTGCTACGACGACTCGACGACACTGGGTCCTCGGTCCCCTTCAGCCTCTGTGCATGCCCGCAGGGACGGGATCCCGACCTTGGCTTGCAGAGTGAGAGGTCGACTAACTTTGAAAAGAAGAAACACTGGGTTCGCAACTCTGCCCTTGTGGTGCCGTGGAGTGTGAGCGCTGTCTGTCTGTACAGCACGGAGCAGCCTCCTTTGCCTTGCAAGTGCAACGGTGTTCGCACCCACAGGCAATCAATCAATCAATCAACCAATCTTGTTATGGTTTTTAATTTAAGTTACCACAAAAGGGATCTGAAGTAGTTCATATGGTTTCCTTATTATGGTAACTTAAATTGAATTCCTTAACAAGAACCCAGAACAGCCCACGGAGCCGCGGAACTAAGGATGTAGCAGACGAGAAGCTCTACTGCGAGCCGTACGGCCCCCTCCTCAGCGAAGGTTCACTAAGCTGAAGCGCACCCACGTTCCCCAAGGGCTCCGACTTCGAGCTTTCTGTGCCAGGTTTCAACGAAGCATTCAAGCTTTTGGAGCGGTGCCGGTGCCTGTGCGAAGGTGTCCCTCACAAGCGCATCGGAGATGTGATCCTTCCAGCTTTCCTGCATTGCCAGTCCATGGGATCCCTGCCCGCGCCTCAGCGGAGGACCATGAAGTCCTAACTTCGCAGCTGGGTTCTTGTTGAGGAATCCAGTTTAAGTTATCATAATGCGGAAACTATATTATTAGCTATAGACCCCGATTATGGTAACTTAAGTTCAAATCCCCTAACAGGAACCCAGTCAAGAAGAGCAGCGCGAGTCAATTGTTCTCACAGCCATATACTATCATTCGCCTCATCGCACACGCTACGCCAAGTCTTGAGCAATGTATGCCTAATGGACTCTTCATGCATATGCTACATGCATCGACAACAGTCCTTCTCCTTTTTCCGGATTCCGTCTTAGCTCGCTCGTGTGCTTCTTATTTCAGGAAAATTCGAAGGTAAGGTATCAATGCGTGCCGTAGCAGCGGTGAGAGGTGGGGCAACCCAAGATTAGCGTACTTCATCCTAGCCCCGTAAAGCACTAAACCGTCAACGCTATATCCTAAACCCTACAATCCCAAAGAGTCCTGTGTACCCATGTGGGGAAAGCTTGCCCAGACCACAATAGTAATACCTGGTATAGAACCCTACGTTCCACCATAAAAGGACCTTAGGACTCTTTGGGGGAGTAGCTTCCCGGCCGGAGGTCTGACCAATGGCGGATCACGGAGAACGACACGCTGCTGGCCATCTCGCCAGGCCGGGAGCTCCCTGGAACTTGAAGCCCCCACAAGGCCCTGCACCCGAGACCTACAACTCCTCGAAAGGTGTACTCTTCCGCAAGGATTCGGGGGAGCAAGGATGATGGCATCCAGTAGGCGTCCTCCAGCTGCCTAGCGCCCTGACCTCCCAACGAAGACCTTAAATACCTGTTTATAGCTCTGACCCCATTTTCCAAAGCAGCAAAGGACTATTCGTGTTGCGTCAGAGGCTTTGTTTCTCATGTCATTATGCTATACCATTGGATGAACAAATATATATACACATACATACATACATACATACATACATACATACGTATATATATATATATGTATACATACACATATACGTATATAAATGCTTGCTCGCCTTTGGAGGCCTCTTCCCAAACATCCAAGTCCTGGAGCCTCTCTTCGCGCTGGCCGGCGATCCGCTGCCTGCGGATGCGTCCCCAGGCGCTGTGTGAGCTTCCCACTCTTGTTTTCAGGGCTTCGGGCATCGTTTCGGGTTCAGGATTTAGGGCTTTTGGTGTTGGAGTGGCTGCACAGCCGTCGTCAACTTCGTGCTTGTAGCAGCAGCCGCCGGTCGTCAAAAGTAGCAGCTGTCGTGGTTGTGTTGGCGGCAGTCGTAGCAATCCTGGTGGTTCTAGTTGTCCTTAGTAACATCAACGGGAATCAGAAGAAGACGTGAGCACCAGTGTGTTGTAGCAGCCACAGGCATCGTCGCAGTAGTCGTGCTAGAAGCAGCCAGGGCCCCTAGCTTCATATGCGTAGCAACAGTCACAGCAATGTCGGTAATGATGATGCTGGCGGTTTTGCAAGCACGCTACCAACAGGACCATAAGCGCTGCCATTACGTGCAACATGACCATCAGCAGCGCCAAAACTTCCACCATTCCACAAGGACAAGGTATCCGACGTATGCCTCCAAGCCCCGAGCTCGACACACCAACACCTAAACCTTCTCACTAATCCGTGAGCACGCAACGGGCAACGGTTCCGAGCCTTGGCGACTGTGAGGCGGGCCCGTCGAGGGGGCCTGTGCCTTCCGCCAGCGCATGCTGGAGATGGAGACGAGCCAGGAGGAGGGCCCTGAACTTTGCTTTCGCCGAACCCCAGAACCTTAGCTCGTAGCCGCAGCCGTTGTGTCTCCTCCTCATCATCATACCGTCACGATCACCATCACGATCACCAGCTGTCGGAAGAGCATCACCAGCCTTATCACGATCCTCGTCCGGGTCCTCGGCTTCATGGTTGCTACAGATGTCATAGTAAGTCATAGTGGCCTGGTGGGAGTCATAGCAGCCGCATGCCGATCACATGCGAAATCTCATCGTCGGAATTGTAGCCAGCAGTGCTTCTCATCACAGACTCATCATTGCCGTCATGAAGGCTATCCACACTCGCATACTCAGACTAAGGCAGCCAACATCTGTTTTTTCAACATAGAAGAGAAGCACAGAGCTTAGCTTCACAGTTCCCAATCAACAGAATTTGCGATCAAATCGCAGAGAAACGAACATCAACTCGAGGTCCATGCAGTGGAAGTTTTTTGCAGAGTAGGCAGCGGCGAAGACAGAGGCAGGCCGCTTGCGACGACGGGGCCCACTAAAAGCACAGCAGCAATACCATCACCATCACCACTGTGATCACCGTCACCATGACCAAACCCTCACCATGCATTGTCACCACCACCGTCATCACCGCCCTTGACATATCATCGCCACCGACCTCCGCGACAACTTATAACTATCGCTGAGCATCTCAGCATCTCCCGTATCATGGAAATAGTCAGATATCAGATATCCACGGATGCGCCATTCCCACAGCAGTGCTTGAGGAGTTGAGTCGGACCGGTAACCGCTGCCTCTTCACCCTCCTGCCGCCCTGGCTGCCTCTTGGGCTCGCTCCGTTGGTTGTTTTGACTTCCGAGGAGCACTCCTTCCTTTCCAAGCCTCCTGAGCCTATGATGTACTATACTACGATGAGATCTTGCTGAGGGTGAGTTGGGTTTTTCCGGCTTTCGGATGAATGGAGGCCGCAGGTCTTACGGGGTCCGGTTGGCAGCTTCTCTTCGTGCTGTGCCTACTTGTGGCAAGCATTGCATGAAGGAGCAAGGCCAACTATCCATGAAAGCCAGCACCGCCCTAGGCTGCCCATGAACGGAGCTCGACGATTCGGAAAGACAGCGGCGCGCTGGGCGCTGGGCGGGCTGAAGGGCTCCCGTGGGTTCTGTTGACTGCCCTACGGGGCGGCTGGCGCGAAATTAGGCGAACACTGCGGTTCCTGTTCGTAAGATGATCTAGCCACAACGGCTAGAGATTAGGGCTTCGGATTTAGGGTCTCCTGTGGGATCGGTTTGTGGACGCATGATGACCCATGTCAGATTTGCTGGCAGGTTTGGGAATGTTCGTGGTTGGGGGACAAAATTCCTGCAGACCCAGGGCGCAGCCCCAAAGTGCTCGAGTGCCCGAAGGAACTTGCAGCAGTTTCCGCTCATTGTCCGCGGACGGCACAGGTTTTCCTCGCGGACCCACGCTACCTCATCATGAGGCGGCTGGCTACAGGTTTTCAGCCCAAGCCGAAATAAGACCCGAAGCCCTAGACTCCAAAGGCTTGGAGGGCTCGGAAACCCACTAGCAAAATGAAATCTACTATAGGGGCCTGAATACTACCCATACTATTTTGGGGGGTTCCTTATTGTATATATAGAGTATAATGAGCTCCCAAGACCTTATTCTAATTATTGCGGCCCCCATGAGGTTGCAGGCAAGAGCTCCCCCAGATCGGCCCTGAATGCGTTTAGCCGCACCCTTCCGGTACGGTCCCTACTGTACTGCCCTAAACTTACGCCTCCTTAGCCGAAGCTAAACGATGCTCGAGGGTTCTCTGTAGGCTTGTATAATGGTTGCCTGCCGGTATGATGGGGGCGAGCCTTGGCTCGAGTAACTTACGGTATGCTCTTCCAGGAGGCGGGGGGGCTACTGGGTGGATTCGGAAGTCCTGAAAGACAGCGGCCTCGGCTCCCGGAAGCTTAAGGCACAGTGGTTCCCTTCTTGAGCGCAGGAGTCGGTTCGCCCCTGAACCCAAAGTCTACGACTAAGATGAGACAGTACCGGCCCTACTAGATGCTTGTGGGGCAGCCCGGGTCTTGAAGCAGGGGCTCTCCAGGGTTTTTGGCGTCAGCATCTCTTTGTGAGGCAGCTGAAGATGTGGGAGATCTTCAAGACATGCATGGCCAAGAAGGGCATATCCGGCTGCCAGGGACCGTGAGGGATGTCAGTAAAGCTGGGCAGTGCTTCTGCGCATTCCTGAGAGGTGAAGGTCAGGACTTGGGATGTTGAAGCTCCCCAGAGCATCTACAAAGCTTCCATAAACCCTGAACCCTCCGGGTGTCCAAATTCTGAGCCCCTCGAACTCGAGGCCTTGACCAAAGCGGAGGCTCCCATCCTCTCCCACTGTAATACTCTCAAACCCAGAGCCCGAAGCAGGGAACCGCCGCCCCCGCCTCTCCTTCGGCGAGGATTTGGCTCGCTTGACGAGTCTGAATTCCTGAGGGCTTACCTCGAGCAGGCTGCTGGCAGGGGTGCTTTGAGGGTGCTACTGCAGCCTTCTATGATGGAGGTTGGACACGTTTTGAGCGTGAGTGTGGGGGCGTGAAGGGCCTTTTACAGTTCTGAGGTCTGAGGTTCGAGAGAGAACGCATGTTCGACTTCGCAGAAACCCTAAACCCACAACCTTGATCCACATCTGCAGCGCTTCGCAGCCACTAATGGAGGACTGCAGCCTTTCGGGGGAAGAGATGCAACGCCTGTCGCGCTGGGCGGTGGAGGAACACAGGCCGGCTGTAGATTCTAGATATTATTACTATTATTATTATATACTATTATTTTGATTGTACATTATTATTATGATAACGGTGGCAGGTGAAGGATGTGTCCGTTCCATCTGTGGCTGGTCCCCGGAGCCAGGCAGCCGGGCAAAGTCAAGATTTTCTTCGTGGAAGACTTCGTTGCAGAGCCTGATGTGGCCCTGCGAGGCAGGTCGGCTTCCGAGTTTTCATGGCGGAAACTTTGGGGTTTCGGGGCCTTTCGGCTTCACAAGACAGGCACCGCCGGCTGCTCTGCGATGGGGTTTAAGGGTAGTGCGGAGCTTCTGAAGGAGGGGAGCCGTCTTGACGGCTGAGCTGTCAGAGCATGAGGGGCATTGCTGCAACCCTAGACCCTCTGAGCCCTACACCCTGAACCCTAAATCCGTAGCAGTCGTCTCTCCGGTTCCGACTACTTCAGCTGCAAGCACTAGATGCCGAAAAGACCAAGTCCCCTTCAATCCGACGTCATTCCCCAAGAGCCTTAGTCCAAAAGACCACTAAAACCCTAAATCCCGACTTATGATCATGCTTACTGATCTTTCCTCTTCCTGTTGGTTACTGCGTATTTTTGTTATCATCACTGCCAGTTTGTGATTCGCCGAAAGCCCGAGATGCTCGAGGCCTCGCTCGCTTCTTGGGCGTGCCCGACGAGTCCGAGGTCTTGCACCAGGCACCCCCGACCCCAATCCCGGGCCACGTCTACTTCTATAGTACAAAGTGCAGGATTTAGGCTTTCGGGGTTTAAGGGATTGAAAGTAAAGCACAGGGCTCAGGGTTTCGCCGGGTTCCTATACCCCAAGGGCTTTGGCCCGAGAGTCCAAAAGTCGTACTGGCTGCTCGGTGGTTGGTTTAGGAACTGAACTTCCGCGAAGATGGATAGGATTTGGAGCTGAGCCTCAGGGCAGCTGAGGGTGAAATTCCGGTGGCATCCTCCCAACGGCCTGTGTGTGCTTCCCAACCGATCCTCCCAACGGCTCTCTCAAGTGTCGGCCTTGCCTGCCAGCCCTCAAACCTTGCGCACGCCCCAAATTCTGGGACACCAAACCCAACACAGCCCCAGCCAGGCCATCAAAAAGCTGGAGGGCCTGCGCCCGCACGGCCTGTTCTTCCCGCGCCAGGAGCCAGAATTGAAGTTTCGAGGGGACCTGGAATGTGCGAGGAAAGGCAGAAAACTGTAGGAGTCCAGTCCAAGCGCCGATCCTTCGAACGCATTGCCTTGAACCACGAAGCAGGAAGAGGTACCCGAAACCCTAAAATCCCACAGCCCTAAAGCCCTAGAGCCCTAAATTTTAGGCTTTTTTTCAATCCTGCCAATATCCAACAGAGCCGCTCTGAAGCCTCAGGACATGCTGGAGCTTCAGCATTTCCTGACCATCACAATGGACTTTGAGCCCCACGGCTAACTGGGGCTTACGGCTTGGATGTGCCAGTAGGGCTTGGGAGTTATGGTTCAGAGTTTCGGGCTCTATGCTGGGCCCCGGCCATGCGATTCCTGCCCACGTGGATGCGCCTCCAGTCCTTCGCGGGCACATGTTCCGAGCTACGCGTGAAGGACAGATTTGCTCTGAAGCCTTTGGGTGGTGAACGGGGCGCTGATTGTTCGGCTTTGTTGCTGCATCCTCCTGGCTTTGGCCCTTCCTGGTGGGTGTCTGGGCATGGCTTTTGCTTTTTGTTCCCGCGAGCCCTGTGAACAAGAAACGGTTTAGTGTGCACGTGCTCCTCAATTTGTCAAGGACAGCGTGCGCTGCTCGGCATTTCGCCCGGCGTCGCAATTTGCATTTTGTCGCTGGGTCGCCGACTTGTTTGGATGCCGCTCCCGGTGCGGGCGAGACGAAACCTCTCACGGCCAGTTTATGCTGGGGCTGGCTTTTCTTTGACTACCTCCCGAACGCTACTCGTGAATGCAGCGTTCTCTGCCGAAGTGGAATCTGCGGATCAATCAGGGCGGCGAGCAGCAGCCGGCTTTGCGAAAACCAGCTCATGAAAGCCAGGATATCTTTTCCCTTGGAAAACATTCGGCAGCGGAAAGGTCAAAGGCAGGACGTTCCAGATCCCTCCAAAAAGGGTGGGTTACGGGAATGGATTCACCAACGTCACCGCTTGGTAGGGTTACGTGCGGGCTACTTGCTGGTGGAGGGCTCTTCGATCTGCTCGGGAAGGCCCGGAATGCTTAAGTTGTCAAGCCCAGAAAGGCAGGAGATTCAGCGCAGAGATGGCCACAGCTCTTGGATATTCAACGGGTGCAAGTGCGAAGTGCGTGGTAGTGCCGTTCACGAGGCCTCCCCCAGACGTGATGCGCGCATTGGAAAGGTCAAACGTGGCATTCCAAGGTCTCCTGTCACCGGTGTTGGACCACCCGAATCCGTCATGGGTATGTGGATTTTACCGCAATATTCTGATTCTGCCCGACGCATTCCAGAAATGGGAGCGTGCCAAGTCGGTAGACTACCACCTGCGCACGTGCAAGCACGCCCCACGTGAGGTGACGGCCGTGCAGACATGTGTTCAGGTGTTTTCAGATCAAGACGCCGCGTATCACGGATCGATGAGGCAGATTCGTGCGCAACTTCGCAGCCTTATCGATCTCCGCACGTTGAGCCCTGCTCTGTGTGTGACAAAGGACGAAACTGCCACACTCCACCTGCACGGGTGTGCGTGCGAGGGCCGGGCTGTCGCAAATCGGCTAATGCCAGGGCACGCAAAACTAAAGTGGCGCATGCGGGCTGTTGACCTCACCACAACTTGTTTAAACACGGAGCCTTTCTTCGTCCTCCTGTGGGCCACTTCTCGCGATGGCAGGGCTGTGCAGTCGTATGCCTGAGGCGTCCTTGCCGATGCGCCCAAGCATTCTCAGTTCCAGTGACAAGGCATTTTGTACCAAGTCGCATCGCGTGAGGGCTACGTCAGTTCATCAAGTAACTTACGGCCATGTGGTTCCAAGCACCACCCAATCTCGAACATTGTCGTGATGCTACTATGTCTCATTTTCGTCTGGAAGTGATTCAGAATCTTCTCACCAAGACCGATGCATTGAGGATGGAAGGTGTTCGCCCAGCTTATGTGCAACCCTGCAAAGCCCTTACTCAGGCCTACAGGTACATGTGAAATGTAATGCACACACGGGTGCAGGTCTCATCCGAAAGTGAAAGTGCAATCAACCGGCAACTTACATATTATGAGCCCCAAGCTTTAACAGGAAGCAGAACGAGGGCTTCATGCACTACAACTTCATATATACCTGTTCAATTAGCCAGTGTGGTTTTGCGATAGTCAACGTGGAGGCATGTTTTCGATGGTCTTGGGAATAAGCGCAGTGGTCAAGCCCAGCATCCAAACCCCGAAATACTCCGGACATCTTCCACCTCAGTCACACCATGACTTGTATGTATCTTCTGTGTGTAAAGGCTGTTATCCGTGACAAGCTTGATTGGTGATTTGTTTTTTTCTGTTGTCATGATTTCAGCCATCTCTGCCATCACAAGCGGAATCATCATCAGAATGATGGGGATGACATGATGACGACGTGTCCATGATGACGTCGATGGCAGGTGGCGATGAGGATCGAGATGATGACGATGTTGCTGCTGATGACAATGGTCTCCTTGCACCGAAAAAACATTTCATTGCTCTGCTAAGCTGTATGTGCAGCCTTCATCGAGCATCCGAAGGTCGGAAGCCTTAAGCTCCGAGTGTCTCCGACACTTCAAACCCGAAGTGTCCTTGATGCCCCCGAGTTTGGAGCTGATGAAGGTCAGACCAAACAGATCGTCGAAGTCCCAAACTATCAGCCGTGTGCCGTACTCTAAAGTCCAGGTTACGGCTGGCCGAACTGCCCAACAAACTTCAGGGCGTCTGGCAGGACCGGAGAAGTTTTTTTGACATTGGTGAAACAGCACTGGAAGAAAACCACATACATACAAATCACATGTCTGTGTGTATGCATATGTTGTGAATGGGTACAGAACGCTATACAATCTTCTTGCGCATTCCAGCCCACCCTGCAGGGCCAGAACAGCTCATTTCGACATGGCATCGCAGAGCCGCCATTTTATGGAGAGCAAGGTAGGAATTGCGGCCCGCCTGATTCCCCACATCCAATCCACATGAAAAACCGAAGACCCTGCAACCTTCGCCTGAGGTCTTGCCGAAACCCAACAGACCTGAAGTGTTCAAACGGAAGGTGTCGACAAGGCCTAAGCCCCAGGCCGTTACAACTAAGCAAACAGAGTCCCGAAGCTCCAAGCTTTCAGCCTTGAAACCTTCAAGCCTTAGTGAGTCTGGGTTTAGGCCATATCAAGAAGCCAAGTCAGGACCGTGTGTCGATGTGGCCTCAGTTGCCCAATCTGCGACTTGCCACCTTGGGACAAAGCCTCCAGCGCCACAAGCCGAGGGCTGAGAAAAGAAAAGCTAAGTGGGTTTGTTCGGCATCGGGTGTGTCCTTTGGGGCCTTCAGGGCAGAGTTCAGGGTTGAAGGCTTGGGATTTCACGCATCTGGGCCTGACATTCTCAGCATTTTGTCGAAGCTCGCCAAAGCAGGCGTGTCGTAGCCTTCGCCGACTATTTGGGCTTCGACACAGCTACTCCAGTGTCTCTGTTTCGAGCTCTAGCACATCTATCTGGTCCTCAGGGTGCCATGAGACATCATGAGACCATCGCGTCAGAGATTTTCTGGAAGGGCAGGCAGGGCGCAAACCACCCGCGGCCCAATCTCCGAGCCCAAACCAAAGCTCGAGGATGTGGGTGGCTCCTATTTGGTGGGCGGCCCACAGCGCCCCTTGCGCCGCAAAGCAAAGGGGTTGATGCTTTGTGGTGCTCTTCGGACTTTCCTGGGTTGACCTGGGCCTTGCTGGTGGACGGAGTGGCCTGGCCGTGGCACAGGACTTGTCAGAAGTCGGTTGGACGGGACCCAATATCCTTTTGCAGTCGGCACAATGTAAAGTGTGCAAAAGAATGCAGTTCCATTTTGTGTGACACTCAAGTACAGCAAGAAGGGCAATTGAAAGCTCCGTGGGAGTAGATCTTGGCAGTCCAACAGAACAAGTTCAGCTAAGATTCAACATCATGGCAGATTGAAACAGCTTCAGTGAGACCTGATGTATCAGAAGGCAAAATCACATTCTCCAGTTGTTCCAGGCCCTAAAGCTCCCTCCCCAGGCCGAGATCTGCAAGCCCTGCAGCTTCGCTCCACGTGGCGTCTGCCGTGCCGGCGATGCCATGCGGCTCCATATGCCCGACAAACTAGCCTTGAGCCCCACCGAAATCCTCGGGTGTCCGTGGCTGCTTTGGCTTCTTGTGCGCAGAGCGAAGTTGCAACTGTCAGTCACCAAGAAAAGTTAGTAAAGTTTAGACGCAGTGGCTCTTGGGTCTCTGAGGACTGCGACTTCTGCCATGCGCCCAGCCACCGTGCGCCCTTGCGCCGGCCGAGCAAGAAGGACCCGGGGCGGGAAGACCAGAGCTCCGAAGCTCTGCGAGCCGGAAATCAGTCGCGAGGAGCGCATGCGACGCCTGCGCAAGTCCATGCGGGAGGCAGCTGAAGCTGAAGCTGAAGAGGAAGAGGCCTCTTGCCGGGTGAAGTACCGGAGATGGGGGTGTCATTGTGGACATTGTGGATTGCATGAGGGGCCTGTTCAGGGCTAAATACAGGTAGTCTTTTGTCGCAGGCTGTGGGGGGCAGCAGCAATTCGCAAGGAGCAAACTGAAGGCGAATGCAACACCCCCAACGATGCCGAACAACTGTCTTCCCAGTCGCTGACGATCTCGACGTCGCCTTCGACCGCTTCCTCAGAGCTCGCCAAGGCAGACATGCTGACCACATGTTACCACGGTTGAAGCAGAGCACAGATTGCGTGGTTGCACCTTGGGAGACGAAGAAGGCAATGGGTGCAAACATAGATTAATAAAGTCATTGGGAGTCTGTTGCTGAAGATGACAACAAACTTGGATGAAAGATACGTGCATTTATGTCCAATGTCGGGTGGCTTGGTCTACAGCAAGCTGCGGGAAGTGCAATTCGCATCTTCCCGCCCATGTTCCTGGGAGACCGCAAGCTGAAGAGGAATTGCTGAATCGTGTGCTGGTTCTGGCCCATAAAACAATCGTAGCCAAGTTTGCTTTCGAAGGGTTTTTGACGAACGTGGCAAAGTGATAGCAGCGGACGTGGTTCGGGGGTCTTGACACATACTTTGCGTCCAAAGCGAGAGCAGCCGAACATGTTTCATGGCTTCGCGGGCTGTGGCCGCAACGCGAAATCAGCACGCTCGCTAGGGGTATCCATCCAGTCGGGCAGGTGGAAGCAGCAGTTCAGCACCCGCAGAAAGAGCAAGAACTGTGATTTTTGGGCTTGATGTTTCGACTATCAGGATTCGAAGATGCCATCTCGTTCTATCTGACCTGGAGCTACCCCCTTCATGTTGTTGGTTGAATATTGCGGCCTGATGAACGTGCCAGGTGAAGCTCGGGGCTCGATCGCGCACCCCATCGCCAGGGGGATTGTCGAGCTGATACGCACGGATGCTTTTTTTCCGTTGGGAAGGTTTTTCTTCGAGCTGTCTTGTCTGGCAGTTTGGTGTCTGGAGGACGGGATTGACGAGAATGTAGACGCATGCTTAGTCTACTGATCATTGTGGATTGTAGCAGCAGAGTTGTGGTACTGGAAGACTTTTGCAAGCTGCTGGAAGCCTCCTAAGCCCCGTCTCGAGCGACTGTGAGGAGCAGGTGGCCGTGGAATGTACAGATTGTCGGGTAGCTGACTTCTTGCACTTCCTGCACTTCATTGGTTCATATGTCTCAATGTGAGCCCGAAAGAGAGACACATCCCTGGCTCACTCTGGAAAGTCCGAGGCCTTTCGGTGCTGTGGACTTCACGGCAGTAGGCTTATTTCTTGCGTCTTGCCTAGAAGAAGGCCTTCGTGCTTTCCTGACGATAGTTTGACTGTTCCGCTGCTCCTCTGAGCGGTTGCCCTTGGCCCTCGAACTCGGATGGGCGGAAGGCGATTGCTCGGCGGGAGGCGATTTGCGGAGTCTGGCCGTGGGCCCACTTCCCCGGCTAGACGTGCGCTGGGAGCTTCAGAGGACACTGCCGCAGGGAGTCCCGTTTCTGATGTTGTTTTTGCAATTTTTCTGCAACATCCCAAATCCAAATCCTGGATTCTACTGAAAGCTCCAGCATGTCAGCCCGTCTGTCGAAAGTTGAGATAGAAGCAGCTTCTGATCGCGCTTTGATGCGTACACGTCGGATGATCTTGGGCCACCGGTGTCTGGCATGAGTTAGCTCGTGCCTGGACATAGGATGGTTGCGAGTTGACTTCTGCCACACGGCATGGTTTTGAGAGGGGCCCCAAAGCATCCAAAACGAAGGAAGTTGCTAGCAGAACAAGTTTAAAGATATCAGATCCTCGTGTTTACGTCGGCATTTGGGGTCCCATTTAAGAGCAAGCCCGAGGACGTGTGCAAATTAGATGCAGGGCGCCTCCGTGTACAGGCTCCCGAAAACTGGGAGGCAGCCTGCCCTTAAGCTCTGAACTCGTCTTGCCTCAAGTTGGTGGGTGCAAGTCATTGTGTGGAGGGGCTCTCCGAAATCATCCTCATCGCTAGAATCCCATAACCCCAAAGCCTTGCAGCCCTGATGAGCCCATATTGCAGTCCTATTTAAAGCCTCAAAAAAGCAAATCTCTAACGCACCCCCTGACAGACCAAGACAGATCTTTAAATGCCGGGAGGGCAGCACATTCGAGCTGGAGCTCGGCCTGAGTTTCTCACTAGGAGCTACCATTGCAGGGTCCAGGTCAGGTTTGAGCCAAGCTGTTTGACAGTTTAATTGGAGTTGTAGGCGCAATTTTCAGGTTTCTTTTAGGTTCCGGGCTTTCCTATCAATGTCTGTATCTGCGCATATGATCCCTGACCTATCTACTTACTTACCTATCCATTGGCCTATCTACCCTGTTAGCTCTCTATCGATCTATCTTCAGGCCTGTCTCTATATACTACACAGCAGATTAGTGTGCACCTTGTTTTGCTTCTTTGGCGAAGCGTAAATAGGTCTTCGCAGCAGGTGCCCCGTTTTGATCAACTAGTCAATCAGCTGACTAGTTAGTTTATAGAATAATCAGTTATCTACCCGTTTTCATTTGCTTAGCTTGCCAAATAGTTAGGTAGGTAGGTGGTTAGTCAATTAATGAAATAATAGTTAATCAATATCAACTAGTTCATTAACTAATCGGATAATAGAATTGCTTAGTTTACTAGTTGGGTGATTAGTTAGATTTGAAGTATACAAACAAACAGACCGGCCAACCAACCACGTAGCTAACTGACGGATTAGTCAGTCAGTCAGTCGGTGTTTATTCTGTTGGTTGGCTAGTTATTTAGTTAGGTATTGGTTTGTGAGAACATGAGTTAGTTGACTACGTCTTCAGTTCATCGATCAAGCAAATATGTAAACGAGCGATCTTAATGTAGAAGCAGATATAGCTGTAAGCGTTGATGTAGATGTAGATACGGATATATTGGTCGATAGATAGATGCATAGACTGATGGATAGGTGCACAGATGCCTACGCAGATAAGCAACATTAAGAAGCAAACTCACGCACACACATAAATCAATACACCATTGAATGAGACAACATATATAGATAAGCTGAACAATGCAGAGTAGCAGCGTAGATGTAGCATCAGCGACAACATTCAATCGATAGTGCTTGCCGGCAGTTGCTGCTCTCCAAGGCAGGGTGACGACTTCAGCATTTGAGAAGATGCCACAGGCAATCAGGAAACTTCTGCGGATCCGAGCCGGTTCGGCGTGGGATTTGTGCAGCAAAACCCAACTCCTATCGCGAAGCCCGAGCTCTAAGTAATCTCTTGTTGTTTACAACTGCGACGACAATGATGTCAGAGTGTGCACAGACAGAGAGGGTGTTCACCAAGCCTGAAAGACTCTTGCTGACTGCACCGAACGTCCGCGGCCCAGCTGGCTCGAGCTCGTTTCCTCGGATCTCGGCGCCATGGTCTCGCTTCGCCTTGCCCTGCTGGGGGCCTGGGCCTTTACGGCCCTGGGCCAGCGGCTCGGCTGCTGTTGGTGCCTTAGGATGCCTTAGGACTTTTCGCCCCCAAACCCTCTCTTGTCTGCAGTTCTGTGGGCCATGCCAGGCAGTGCGATTGCGGCCAATGCCCCAACTATGATTGGACGTCCACGTGCTTCGACAACTGCACCGTCACGGGAGACCCCCACGTGGAGCACAGCTGGCGCAAAGGCTACGAGAACGGCTTCGACTTCCAGCCGCAGGGCATCTGGCGCCTGGCAAAGACGGAGACGTGTGGCGGCACGGTGGAGGTTCAGGCTTTCTTTTGCCAGTACTTCTTCACCAGGCTCAGCTCCGCCATCGGCTACGCCATCACCATCAACAACGGCGACAAGTACATCGTGAAGAGGGTCGGCGACGACTACGTGATCGGGAGCCCCAACGTCGAGAGTGCAACCCTGAAGATCTTGAACGACAACACTACGGACCCTGCGGCCGGAATCATCATCACGAGTACCGACAACTGCATCCGCATCAAGCTGAACACCCAGCCTTTGTACGGACGTGCTGCGCAGAAGAAGTTCACCCCGGACGCCTACTTCAACAACATCATCATCAAGGTCTGGGGCTGTGCGACGACGGAGGAAGGCATCTGCGGTGCTGAGCACCTGGGCTTTCTAGTGGCCTGGGGCAGCTGATAGATCAGCTAGGTCTGACTGAGCCCGTGGCCGAGCCTATCAAGCACCGAGGAAACTGTCAACCCAGTACATTGACCCTGAGAGCGACGCGAACCTCTTCAAGACGCCGCTCAGCTCCTTCCGGGAGTGGCATAATTGATAATGCCCAAGTCCATTCGTAAGCCTGGTCTGTGCCCAGGCCGGACAACGAAAACCTGTGGCAGGATCTCTGCGAGTTCTGCCAGGAAGAAGGCGCCTCGACAAGACCATCGGGGTTTTGCATTTGCGCCGCCGTCACCTGCCTTGTCTTGCTTGCTGCTTTTTCGCAGGCAAGGCCTTGACGCCTCCCGGCTGCCCCGCGCCCCCCGGTGGCGGCATCATGGAGCCCGGCTGCGAGTTCATGAGGCCTCGTCTCGCCAAAGCCCGAGTCATGTGTTCCCATGCATCATATGAAGGCCCTTCGGAAGCCCGCGCGACAAGCTGTGCTATCCGCCCCTCGCACAGAAGGGAAGCGGGGCGGAAGGTCAGAGCTTGTTCCAGTGTGCTAGGACGGCTTAAAGAGAGCGGCTGGCATTTCAACTTTCCGGTGAAGTGCGCCCAGGGGGGTCACCGATGACGCCGAGAACGAGGCCGCCCTCGCGGCTCTGAAGGAGGATGGCGAGAACTGCGTCCCCGGGCAGATCATTCTGAGCTGTGACTGCCGCGATTCTGGTACTGCTGGTGGTGCATGAGCTACTAGCTGCTAGGTGTTCGTCAACCCCATGTCACAATGCGATTGGTCGTGGTGCTGATCCGAAGCTTGTTCGTTGGGGTTTTTGTTTTTGTGGCTGCCAATACCCTGATGGTGCTGCACATTCTGTCTAGGCCGCTGGCGATGGTGGCGGTGGTGGTGGTGATGACGACGATGATCGTGATCCGCATGTTGCTGATGATAAGAACTAAGATCAATGTCGACCATGATGATGCTGCTTCTGACGTTGATGCAGAAGATGAATAAGGAGGAGTAAGACCACGCTGACGATGTCGATGATGTTGATAGTTGTAGTATGTTGTAGTGATGGTGACAGATATAGTGTATGATGACAGTAACGCTGAGCTGCTGTCGTTAGTGCTGCTGACTGGCTTAGTGCTGCTGCCGGTGCTGGTGCTGTAGTGCTGCTGGTCGTCTTGGTCCGGTGGTCTTGCTTGCAGCCCTGCGCCTACGAATCCCTGGCAGCAGCGAAAGGTTGCCTTCGTGAACCTGCAGACGCCAACCTTCCCGCGCAGGACTTGCAGAGACTGGTGCCAGGACCGAGCGTGCTCTCCAAACCCGAAAGAGCGTCGATGCGCTTGCTCAGACATCTGCAGGACCGAGGTGCTCGCTGCGTCGCGGCATGGGACGATGCGGGCACGGGAAGGCTACCTCCTTTCATCGTGGGTCTGGGGTTTCGAGCCTAGCTGTTTGAACACGAGCTTGCTGCAACCCAGCATCCAACACGTCAGTCTCGAGACCACAGAGTTGGGGATGCTTCTTAAAGCAGACTTGCGCAGCTGGGACATAGCACTTGCACGGAGTCCGGTAATCTCTGGTAGCCCGTAGTAGTGGCAACGAAGAGCTCACACCATTTCCTGGCGGTTCCACAGGTTGTAAGTACAAACGTAGGAGGAATCATGCTGATCTGGAAGGTTCCCGAACGATGCCTTCGCTTGCAACATCTCGACTGCCACCGAGAAGTCTTGCGACGACCGCGCGAGGGATACCCACTGCGTGTGCGAGAAGCCGGACAACAACGCGTGGCTTGGCTGCAGATGTGCAGGAGATCCAGGAGATTCTTGGGCACCTTTCAGCTTTGCTCTGGTAGTTGGCTTCCAAATAGGTAATCGCTAGCCAGCGAGGCCCGGAGAGAGTGTGGCGCAGACGTGCGCAGATGCACGGGACCTGAACGGCTTCAACTTCTCCTACCTGGATGCCGCTGACATGTGCCGGACAGAGGCTATCTGGCTGGACGGTGTGACCTACCCGCAGAACACGGAGCAACCCACGTTCGAGCAGCGGTTGCTGGTGTACTGTGTCCAGGACGTGTGTGCCACGGATACAGAAGACAGGCGGGAAGTGGCCCGAAGTTACGGAGATCGTGATCCAAGCTTCCCTCCCAACAAGCCCAACCTCTGCAACGGCCCTCTGCTTTGCAACCTGATCTGCACAGCAGGGTTGATCCAGGATTGGACCGAGTGCATGGACGTTTGCACGGGCCACCGATCCATGCTGATCCACGCAACAGGCCGCTACTGCAAGGCTGGGCTGTGCCCAAGCTTGCTGCAGGAGACGGAAATCATAGGGCTGCTGCAGCACCGACTAAAGCAGAACAGCACCTTGGAGATCACGGATGAGGCTGAGGCTGAGGAGACGGAGTCGAGGAGGTCCCGGAGGAAGTCCTGGTCCACCTCCTCCAGGAGGTCCAGCCGCTCCCGCCGCTCCAGCAGCAGCAGGTCGCGCAGGTCTGTCAGCAGCAGGTCTCGGCGGTCAACCTCGCGACGCGTCATTCCCAAGTCGCCCAGCAGCCGGTCTCGGCGATCAACATCGCGACGAGTGGTCATCGGGGTCCGCCGCCGCAAGGACGACGACGCTGGCCGCCGCCGCATTCTCAAGGACGACGACATCTGGGTGCGCCGCCGCATTGTCAAGGACGATGACAAAGACTCCCGTCGCCGCATTCTCAAGGACGATGACAAGGACTCTCGTCGCCGCATTGTCAAGGACGACGACATCTGGGTGCGCCGCCGCATTGTCAAGGACGATGACAAGGACTCCCGGCGCCGCATTGTGAAGGACGATGACAAGGACTCCCGTCGCCGCATTCTCAAGGACGACGACATCTGGGTGCGCCGCCGCATTGTGAAGGACGATGACAAGGACTCCCGGCGCCGCATTGTCAAGGACGATGACAAGGACTCCCGGCGCCGCATTGTCAAGGATGATGACAAGGACTCCCGCCGCCGCATTGTCAAGGACGATGACAAGGACTCCCGGCGCCGCATTGTTAAGGACGATGACAAGGACTCTCGTCGCCGCATTGTCAAGGACGATGATGATGGCTCCCGCCGCCGCATTGTGAAGGACGATGACAAGGACTCCCGGCGCCGCATTGTCAAGGACGATGATGATGGCTCCCGCCGCCGCATTGTCAAGGACGATGACAAGGACTCCCGTCGTCGCAAGAAGGACGATGATGATCGTGATGATAAGGACGATGACGACGACAAGGACAAGTGCGTGGATGAGGATTCTCTGTGCAAGAAGATCTGCTACGGCTTCAAGCTGGAGGGCAAGGAGCTTTACTGGTGCTTGCATCGATGCCACGCCAAGTTTGATATGCAGCTCAAACCCGGCATGGACAGCTACTGCATGGAGTGTGGCAAGTACTGCGGGCATCCTGATGTCACCACCAGCACCACGACCACGACAACCAGGACCCCCAGCACCGAGATTTGTCCCTTCACCACCACGACTACGACGCACCCGGTCTATGGGGATGATGACGATGATGATGGCTCCCGTCGCCGCATTGTCAAGGACGACGACAAGGATTCGCGCCGCCGCAAGGCCGACGATGATGACGGCTCCCGCCGCCGCATTGTCAAGGACGATGACAAGGACTCTCGTCGTCGCAAGGCTGACGATGATGACGGTTCGCGACGCCGCATTGTCAAGGACGATGACAAGGATTCGCGCCGCCGCAAGGCCGACGATGATGACGGCTCCCGCCGCCGCATTGTCAAGGACGATGACAAGGACTCCCGTCGTCGCAAGGCTGACGATGATGACGGTTCGCGACGCCGCATTGTCAAGGACGATGACAAGGACTCCCGTCGCCGCATTGTTAAGGACGATGACAAGGACTCTCGTCGCCGCATTGTCAAGGACGATGATGATGGCTCCCGCCGCCGCATTGTCAAGGACGATGACAAGGACACACGTCGCCGCAAGGCCGACGATGATGACGGCACGCGCCGCCGCATCTTCAAGGACGATGACGGCTCTCGGCGCCGCATCTTCAAGGACGATGACGGCACGCGCCGCCGCATCTTCAAGGGCGATGACGACGATGGCACGCGCCGCCGCATCTTCAAGGACGACAATGGCAGCCGGCGTCACCGTCATCGATCATCCCAAAGCGATTAGACAGTACGAGACCTTATGTACAGGGCCTATCGCCAACTCGAGCCAGTTTTCGTTGCCTCGAGGCAGTCACTCCAAGGCTCCAAGAGGCATCGCATGTGCTAAAATGCATACTTTAACTCCGAGCTACAGCTACCTGCCCAGCCTGAAACCCGGAAGCTTATCATTGTGAGAATAAGCTGGATCGGAAAAGGCACCAGGTAGCCGCTTCTCGAATGCTATGGTCTCATGCATCAGCCGAGTGCTAGTAACATGCTGACCTACAAGCCGCTTGATGGCATTTTAAAAGTTTTGTCCCGAAGTTTTGTCCCGGGCGTGCGCCCGCTTGTGAGCCGTGGACGATGCAGTGGCCACGAAGTGGCCTCAGCGGATGCGGATCTGACACAGGCTGTACCAGTCAGAAAAGTTTTAGAAAGCAAGCGCAGTGTCAATTGCCCTTGTGCTGTTCGACAATGATTGGCTTAGTGCTTGGGTGATAGTACTAGAGGCAGGCGCGACGAACATCAATTCCTGCCTTACTTGCGCAGTGCTATGACGCACGGTTTCGCATCGCACAATGTGCCAAGTACTCCCTTGTCCTCCCTTGCCCACCCTTCCCTCTCTTCCTCCCTCCCTCCCGCAAGGGGTGCAAGCCCAAGCCATCTGATGCGGCCCAGCTGGCTCGAGCTCGTTTCCTCGGATCTCGGCGCCATGGTCTCGCTTCGCCTTGCCCTGCTGGGGGCCTGGGCCTTTACGGCCCTGGGCCAGCGGCTCGGCTGCTGTTGGTGCCTTAGGATGCCTTAGGACTTTTCGCCCCCAAACCCTCTCTTGTCTGCAGTTCTGTGGGCCATGCCAGGCAGTGCGATTGCGGCCAATGCCCCAACTATGATTGGACGTCCACGTGCTTCGACAACTGCACCGTCACGGGAGACCCCCACGTGGAGCACAGCTGGCGCAAAGGCTACGAGAACGGCTTCGACTTCCAGCCGCAGGGCATCTGGCGCCTGGCAAAGACGGAGACGTGTGGCGGCACGGTGGAGGTTCAGGCGTTCTTTTGCCAGTACTTCTTCACCAGGCTCAGCTCCGCCATCGGCTACGCCATCACCATCAACAACGGCGACAAGTACATCGTGAAGAGGGTCGGCGACGACTACGTGATCGGGAGCCCCAACGTCGAGAGTGCAACCCTGAAGATCTTGAACGACAACACTACGGACCCTGCGGCCGGAATCATCATCACGAGTACCGACAACTGCATCCGCATCAAGCTGAACACCCAGCCTTTGTACGGACGTGCTGCGCAGAAGAAGTTCACCCCGGACGCCTACTTCAACAACATCATCATCAAGGTCTGGGGCTGTGCGACGACGGAGGAAGGCATCTGCGGTGCTGAGCACCTGGGCTTTCTAGTGGCCTGGGGCAGCTGATAGATCAGCTAGGTCTGACTGAGCCCGTGGCCGAGCCTATCAAGCACCGAGGAAACTGTCAACCCAGTACATTGACCCTGAGAGCGACGCGAACCTCTTCAAGACGCCGCTCAGCTCCTTCCGGGAGTGGCATAATTGATAATGCCCAAGTCCATTCGTAAGCCTGGTCTGTGCCCAGGCCGGACAACGAAAACCTGTGGCAGGATCTCTGCGAGTTCTGCCAGGAAGAAGGCGCCTCGACAAGACCATCGGGGTTTTGCATTTGCGCCGCCGTCACCTGCCTTGTCTTGCTTGCTGCTTTTTCGCAGGCAAGGCCTTGACGCCTCCCGGCTGCCCCGCGCCCCCCGGTGGCGGCATCATGGAGCCCGGCTGCGAGTTCATGAGGCCTCGTCTCGCCAAAGCCCGAGTCATGTGTTCCCATGCATCATATGAAGGCCCTTCGGAAGCCCGCGCGACAAGCTGTGCTATCCGCCCCTCGCACAGAAGGGAAGCGGGGCGGAAGGTCAGAGCTTGTTCCAGTGTGCTAGGACGGCTTAAAGAGAGCGGCTGGCATTTCAACTTTCCGGTGAAGTGCGCCCAGGGGGGTCACCGATGACGCCGAGAACGAGGCCGCCCTCGAGGCTCTGAAGGAGGATGGCGAGAACTGCGTCGCCGGGCAGATCATTCTGAGCTGTGACTGCCGCGATTCTGGTACTGCTGGTGGTGCATGAGCTACTAGCTGCTAGGTGTTCGTCAACCCCATGTCACAATGCGATTGGTCGTGGTGCTGATCCGAAGCTTGTTCGTTGGGGTTGTTGTTTTTGTGGCTGCCGGTACCCTGACGGTGCTGCACATTCTGTCTAGGCCGCTAGCGATGGTGGCGGTGGTGGTGGTGATGACGACGATGATCGTGATCCGCATGTTGCTGATGATAAGAACTAAGATCAATGTCGACCATGATGATGCTGCTTCTGACGTTGATGCAGAAGATGAATAAGGAGGAGTAGGAGCAGGAGGCAGATGAGGAAGAGATTAAGGCCACGCTGACGATGTCGATGATGTTGATAGTTGTAGTATGTTGTAGTGATGGTGACAGGTATAGTGTATGATGACAGTAACGCTGAGCTGCTGTCGTTAGTGCTGCTGACTGGCTTAGTGCTGCTGCCGGTGCTGGTGCTGTAGTGCTGCTGGTCGTCTTGGTCCGGTGGTCTTGCTTGCAGCCCTGCGCCTACGAATCCCTGGCAGCAGCGAAAGGTTGCCTTCGTGAACCTGCAGACGCCAACCTTCCCGCGCAGGACTTGCAGAGACTGGTGCCAGGACCGAGCGTGCTCTCCAAACCCGAAAGAGCGTCGATGCGCTTGCTCAGACATCTGCAGGACCGAGGTGCTCGCTGCGTCGCGGCATGGGACGATGCGGGCACGGGAAGGCTACCTCCTTTCATCGTGGGTCTGGGGTTTCGAGCCTAGCTGTTTGAACACGAGCTTGCTGCAACCCAGCATCCAACACGTCAGTCTCGAGACCACAGAGTTGGGGATGCTTCTTAAAGCAGACTTGCGCAGCTGGGACATAGCACTTGCACGGAGTCCGGTAATCTCTGGTAGCCCGTAGTAGTGGCAACGAAGAGCTCACACCATTTCCTGGCGGTTCCACAGGTTGTAAGTACAAACGTAGGAGGAATCATGCTGATCTGGAAGGTTCCCGAACGATGCCTTCGCTTGCAACATCTCGACTGCCACCGAGAAGTCTTGCGACGACCGCGCGAGGGATACCCACTGCGTGTGCGAGAAGCCGGACAACAACGCGTGGCTTGGCTGCAGATGTGCAGGAGATCCAGGAGATTCTTGGGCACCTTTCAGCTTTGCTCTGCTAGTTGGCTTCCAAATTGGTAATCGCTAGCCAGCGAGGCCCGGAGAGAGTGTGGCGCAGACGTGCGCAGATGCACGGGACCTGAACGGCTTCAACTTCTCCTACCTGGATGCCGCTGACATGTGCCGGACAGAGGCTATCTGGCTGGACGGTGTGACCTACCCGCAGAACACGGAGCAACCCACGTTCGAGCAGCGGTTGCTGGTGTACTGTGTCCAGGACGTGTGTGCCACGGATACAGAAGACAGGCGGGAAGTGGCCCGAAGTTACGGAGATCGTGATCCAAGCTTCCCTCCCAACAAGCCCAACCTCTGCAACGGCCCTCTGCTTTGCAACCTGATCTGCACAGCAGGGTTGATCCAGGATTGGACCGAGTGCATGGACGTTTGCACGGGCCACCGATCCATGCTGATCCACGCAACAGGCCGCTACTGCAAGGCTGGGCTGTGCCCAAGCTTGCTGCAGGAGACGGAAATCATAGGGCTGCTGCAGCACCGACTAAAGCAGAACAGCACATTGGAGATCACGGATGAGGTGGAGGCTGAGGCTGAGGAGACGGAGTCGAGGAGGTCCCGGAGGAAGTCCTGGTCCACCTCCTCCAGGAGGTCCAGCCGCTCCCGCCGCTCCAGCAGCAGCAGGTCGCGCAGGTCTGTCAGCAGCAGGTCTCGGCGGTCAACCTCGCGACGCGTCATTCCCAAGTCGCCCAGCAGCCGGTCTCGGCGATCAACATCGCGACGAGTGGTCATCGGGGTCCGCCGCCGCAAGGACGACGACGCTGGCCGCCGCCGCATTCTCAAGGACGACGACATCTGGGTGCGCCGCCGCATTGTCAAGGACGATGACAAAGACTCCCGTCGCCGCATTCTCAAGGACGATGACAAGGACTCTCGTCGCCGCATTGTCAAGGACGACGACATCTGGGTGCGCCGCCGCATTGTCAAGGACGATGACAAGGACTCCCGGCGCCGCATTGTGAAGGACGATGACAAGGACTCCCGTCGCCGCATTCTCAAGGACGACGACATCTGGGTGCGCCGCCGCATTGTGAAGGACGATGACAAGGACTCCCGGCGCCGCATTGTCAAGGACGATGACAAGGACTCCCGGCGCCGCATTGTCAAGGATGATGACAAGGACTCCCGCCGCCGCATTGTCAAGGACGATGACAAGGACTCCCGGCGCCGCATTGTTAAGGACGATGACAAGGACTCTCGTCGCCGCATTGTCAAGGACGATGATGATGGCTCCCGCCGCCGCATTGTGAAGGACGATGACAAGGACTCCCGGCGCCGCATTGTCAAGGACGATGATGATGGCTCCCGCCGCCGCATTGTCAAGGACGATGACAAGGACTCCCGTCGTCGCAAGAAGGACGATGATGATCGTGATGATAAGGACGATGACGACGACAAGGACAAGTGCGTGGATGAGGATTCTCTGTGCAAGAAGATCTGCTACGGCTTCAAGCTGGAGGGCAAGGAGCTTTACTGGTGCTTGCATCGATGCCACGCCAAGTTTGATATGCAGCTCAAACCCGGCATGGACAGCTACTGCATGGAGTGTGGCAAGTACTGCGGGCATCCTGATGTCACCACCAGCACCACGACCACGACAACCAGGACCCCCAGCACCGAGATTTGTCCCTTCACCACCACGACTACGACCACAACGCACCCGGTCTATGGGGATGATGACGATGATGACGGCTCCCGTCGCCGCATTGTCAAGGACGACGACAAGGATTCGCGCCGCCGCAAGGCTGACGATGATGACGGTTCGCGACGCCGCATTGTCAAGGACGATGACAAGGACTCCCGTCGCCGCATTGTTAAGGACGATGACAAGGACTCTCGTCGCCGCATTGTCAAGGACGATGATGATGGCTCCCGCCGCCGCATTGTCAAGGACGATGACAAGGACACACGTCGCCGCAAGGCCGACGATGATGACGGCACGCGCCGCCGCATCTTCAAGGACGATGACGGCTCTCGGCGCCGCATCTTCAAGGACGATGACGGCACGCGCCGCCGCATCTTCAAGGGCGATGACGACGATGGCACCCGCCGCCGCATCTTCAAGGACGACAATGGCAGCCGGCGTCACCGTCATCGATCATCCCAAAGCGATTAGACAGTACGAGACCTTATGTACAGGGCCTATCGCCAACTCGAGCCAGTTTTCGTTGCCTCGAGGCAGTCACTCCAAGGCTCCAAGAGGCATCGCATGTGCTAAAATGCATACTTTGACTCCGAGCTACAGCTACCTGCCCAGCCTGAAACCCGGAAGCTTATCATTGTGAGAATAAGCTGGATCGGAAAAGGCACCAGGTAGCCGCTTCTCGAATGCTATGGTCTCATGCATCAGCCGAGTGCTAGTAACATGCTGACCTACAAGCCGCTTGATGGCATTTTAAAAGTTTTGTCCCGAAGTTTTGTCCTGGGCGTGCGCCCGCAGCCTTGTGAGCCGTGGACGATGCAGTGGCCACGAAGTGGCCTCAGCGGATACGGACGGTGCACAGCAAAAATGGTCGCGGCTGCTTTGGTTCGGAGCAACTCATTGTAGGCAGAGTTTCACTTAGGGTCTCGGCGGTGTACTCGTGGTACAGCGTGACGTTGCTTCGTTGATCGATTGGCCAGCTGATCTCAAGCTCTGCAGGGTTCAAGACATGCTGGAAACTGAAGCCTTCTAGCCCAACGCCCCGAAACGCCCTGTGCCGCATACCCTGGCCTTGACCCCGAGGCCTTCAAAGCCCGTCGGTGTGAGTCTCCGAAGCCACCTGAGTTCCGCGCTACCCACTGGACCCCTGCCTTTGCCGGGGCCGATGGCTGAGGCTGGACTTTGCAAGCAAAAGACCTTGGCGCTCGCCGTTCAAGCTGTCGTCTCCTCCCCCTCTTCCTACTCCCCGTCATGGTCGCCCCAGCAGGAACGGAAGCCAGCGGTCGTTGTCAGAATAGCAACACAGCACTGGCCCCGGACACAACGGCAACAATCATAGCCACAGGAGCAGGATTTTCACTAGCCAACTCCATTGTACGAGGGTCCACCCGGACTTAAGGAAACCGAGGTTGAACTAGCAGACTATCTAGATGTCTGTAAGAATCGTTTGCTGTGATAGTCTAAACAACAGAATTGGCGGTGTTGATCATGGCACTGGCAATTCTACGACTAGGGACATCTTCTGTGAAAGAATCGAAAACACAGGATAAGATACATGCGTTGCTTCATCAGAGACAGCAATAGTAGCGAGATCAACAACAGAGCAACTCAAAACCATACTGCATCATCGGAGTTACGTTTCCGTAATGAGTAGCATCTAGGGGAAACAAAACGATGACTGCTATCAGCAGGACGATAGACTCGAAAGGCAAAATGCAATCCTCAGAAAGTCTTCGTTGGATTCCACAAGTCCTCGCCAACCATGTCGACATGATCTTCCCCACCATGGTCTGTCGGATGGGGAGGACTAGCACACGCGCGCGCACACACAGATATATATATATATATATACACATATGCTACCCCCCCAGGACCTACCTCGAAGCCTCTTCTTTATCGTCTAGACGACGTTACGACCCCACTCCGAACAAAAATCTTGTATTGCTTAGTCTTCCCTGTCTACGACGGCACAACACCGTTCGAACCAAGACAGTAGCACGAAGCATTGTCTAATGTCCGCTGTATGCTACGCTATTAAACGGCGGGCTCCTCCTGATGTTCCTTTTTTAAGCCGTGATCTATAAGGTACTCTATAAGTCATTGCAGATGGTATCTCAAAAGGTATTCTAGAGGATATTCTATGAGGTATATCTGAGGTATACAGAGGATATATTGCATAGGCGGTCTTCTGTGCAGTGTATCCGTTCTGTCTAAACCCTAAACTCTAAACCCTAAACCCTAAACCTTAAATACCCTAAACCCTAAGCCCTACAAGTATCTAAGCTCCTTGTCGGGTATGCCACGTACATTGCAACCGATGCCCAGCAGGTCCATGATGCTTCAGGCAGGAACGGGATTTTCGTTGAGGCCCTTGCTAGGGACCAGCCGGCGCGACCAATGGTTACCTGGCTCCCGCCGGGTGACACCACCGGGATTGCATACTTGCGGAGTGCGCTTCGGCAGGCGGGAGGTAGACCACTGGCCTTCCGCAAGGGCCAGGGTGCTTCCATTGGCATCCGCGCGAAGCGGGGTGAGGCTGTGAAGGCCGCCAGCAACTGGCGAGTTCGTGGTGTCCCGCGGGCGTGGTCGGATCAGGACCTCCTTGACGCTCTGAAGGGAGCTGACTTTCAAGAGGTGCAGGTTGTGAGCGAAGCGCCCATGCCTTGTTAGGGCCACCCTGGCCGCTGATACGGGAGAGCTGGCCCTCATCGTGGAGGCCGGTTCCAAGTTACTGCGGGTCGAGAGGGTGGTTGGTCAGGCTCGCACCGGTCGCTTCGAGGAACGACCCTGGGCACCCGCAAAAAGAGGCAAAAACTGATGGCAAAGGGAAGCCTTCTCCATCCCCGCCGCCATTGTGCATGGACATCGATGACGACGACTAGGATGATGACGGTGTGAAGCCAAAGATGCCGACATGGCGAATGGCTCGGGCCAAGCCAATGAGAATGGCAAGCGACTCCGCGAGGGGGACCACAAAGGCGCATGGACTGAGCATGAGTGCGGCGGCCAAGGACACTGCTTCTACAACTGCGTGACCGCCTCCTTCATCATGAAAACCAGCGGCGCGGCTTTCAGTGATCTCGTGGATCAGCTGGGTCCTAAGCAAAAGGGGCTGCGATCACGTATCGCCTCCCATATTACGGGACATCCTCAGCCATACCAGCCATTCTTCGAGCCGTCGGTGGTTAGCCCGGATGCTCCTGACCCTCAAAAGGCACTCGACGACTTGAAGAAATTTGAGAACGGCGCTCCCCCCACCACCTGGGAAGAGTATGTCGAGGCGGTCTTTAGACCTGCCAGGTACGGTGATGAGATAGCCTTCCGTGCCGCATGTGCATTGCTTGGGGTCTCCATCACCTTAGTCTGTGGAGACCTTGATCGGCCTACCCAGGTGTTGTACTACACGAAAAGCCGTTCAAACCTTATGGTCTACCTGCGGCACTCCTTGGGGCACTTCACTTTGTTGGTGCCCAAGGGTTCGGACCTGCCCGATTACATCGCTGCAGGCACGCCGCCATTGCAAAATCAGGCACCGGCCCCGAGAGGGGAGGCAGGACCTCAGAGGACGATAATGCTGAGGATACTTCGTGGATGCCGCTGATGGCTCAGTCGCAGTTTCCTCAAAAGTTCGGATGAGAACAGGCCGCTTTCAGCGCTGCCCTGCAAATTGCCGGTCGTGCCAGCCGATGGCCCTCAGTCCCGACACGAGCCGAAGGGTCGAGCAAGGCGGCGACAGGAGGTGCGGATCACACTCGCACACAAGCCAGGCTCGTGCAGCGGCCGAGGGCGGCGGCAGCGAAGCGGCAAGAAGCCAGCCACGGCTGATGCACAGCGTAGCAGTCGGATGAACAAGATATCGCTTGCTGTAAGTAAGACTAGGGTGCGCAAACACACTGTAGGTAAGAAGTTGCATTGGCAGTGTAATCTGTGTAGCCTGACCGTGAAAGCCAGTACCATGCGCGAGCTTTCAATTGGCCGTTACGGGCACATCAAGCGCGTGCATCCCACTACACCGCTTGATAGGTTCACTGACCTTAGGTCCTACGCGGGGATTGTACCGGCTGTCCCAGACACGCCGAACCCGGCCTGGATGTGCGGCTACTGCCATGCTTTCCTTCCGAAGCTTTCCACTCAGTACGCACAGAGCAAGTCTGCGAGATTCCACCTGAGTTTGTGCCCTCACGCCCCGGCTAAGGTCAAACTCATGCAAAACCTGAGGCAAATTCTTGCATCCGAGGGCCTTCAGGTCCCGAAGGGCAATGCAGATGTCTGCCAGACAAAGGGGCGGAAGATCAACCTTGAGTGCTTCCGCCCTTCAGCCAGTGAGCTCAGCGAGCTGCGTGCCGAGAAGGAGAGGAGCTCGTCGCCAGCGGTTTGCCGGCCCAGGGCTAGCCGCAACTGCGTACTGCATGGCAATCAGACCTCTCAGAGCACAAAGCGCCGCGGCTCCCCACAGATTCCGGCGTGCCAACGCCTCCGTGAGCCAGAATCGCAGGGCTAAGAGCATCATCCTTCGGAGATCTCATCTTGTTGATCATGAAGAAATCAAGTTTGGGACTAAGGCTTATCTCGCCTTAGTTATCATTGATGGTGCCTCTAATCTCCTGTGGGCTACGGCTCTCACAAGCCTGGAAGCGCCCGAGACTCTGGGAGCTTTTCGACATTGGACAGAGGAGAACAACTGCATCCCGAAAGGGATTGTAGGTGATCAAGCTTTTTCACACCACGGTTCACGTCCTATTACAAGTTTGATGGCGTTGCCAAATCGAGCCGAGACTGCAGTGCGGCTTTTCAAGCGCACGTGGTCAATCATGGCTAAGGCCTGGCTGATGAAGGTTACGCAGAGAAGAAAATTCAGGCAGGCAGTTTAGAGGGTGGCTTGGGCAAGAAATTGCTAACTGACAGTCTCAGGTTATTCTCCGCTCGAGATAGCCACTGGGAGACGGCCACTTGATCTGTTTGATGTGGAGACCAGCACTCCAGAACAGCTCTCCGCTGATCCTTCAGAAGAGGATCGAACCACTCTGATCTTCGAAAGGACCTAGCACTGCGAGTGATGGCGTCGGACGGTCCATACCAGAAGGGAGATCGTGTGTTTGTCTGGCATAAGGATGAGTCCAAGAAGAAGTCTGACGGAACCGGGCTGGTGTGTGTGTGTGTGTGTGTGTGTGTGGTTGTGTGTTTGTGTGTTTGTGTGTGTGTGTGTGTGCGTGTGCTTACTCCTTCCTCCTGGCAAGTTTGCGTAGCTAGATAGGTGAAACTCCGGGCATTTTGAGTTACGAGGGTTCTGTTATCTCAGTTTTTGTGTTTTTGTCCTACGTCTTATGTCCTTGAGTTTGGAGAAATTTGTGGTAAACCTGCGAACAGGCCACTAGTGCTACGAGCTCACGCAGGGCTGGCTTTCGAGCTCTGCAGCCAAGCCCGACCACCGTCGACTTCACTGTCAGTGAGTCCCGTTGGGCGCTGCGCGAGGTCACCGGCAATCCAGAGAGCCAGGGTGTCCGCGATTTGATTGCGGAGGAAATAGATCCCAATGCTTGCCGACGCGTCTGAGCGCCGCGCCAACGGTTCGTTGGCGATGGTAGGGACTGCCAAGCACACTCTGTTGGCCGAGCTGTTAAGTTCTTCCACTTTAGACGGCTTTTGAATGTGCAAGGGCGGTTGCGCGAGTGCGTGCGACAGCAGAAAGCAGGCGGAGACTATCAATCTGCACAGTGACACGCTAGCAGCGTCGCTAAGACCTGCCCAGTTCCGCTGACGCTCGGTCGATGATTGGACTGATCTCCATGGGTTGCTGCAGCGGGTGTACGCTGCCATTGCCGAGGACGCACAGCGATGTACCCAAAAGTGGGAGCAAACGATGGCGGCCACAGGCAGAGGGGCTACGTGGTGGCTCCACGGCAGGATCTCCAGATTCAACAGTGTCACAACGAGCGGTCTTGTACCGCCGGCACCGAGCTGTCTATCAATGACAGCTTGCCCAATTTGCAAAGCTGCTGGCAAACATTTGGGGACGCAGGTGCGTCGATGCCACTCAAAAATGCGGTGACCGACGCTTTTGACTATCTCCCGCAGCGCACATAGTGCTGGTGTTCGCTTGCCTTGGATGGATCAGGCTGTGTTTTCAAACATCGCAGGGCAATGTGCATCTGGCTAAAAGTGGACTGTCCGCCTTCTAACATCAAAAATCTGACCAGAAGAACTGCATAGTTCAAACACAGAAGCACAAACATACACAGAAATATGTGTATATTACATATACATTATGTCATATACACATGATTACACATGCGTATATTGCAGATCTGTAAAGGTTGGACCCCAAACCTCATGTTCGGTCGTCAGTGCAGGAAGACTTCCTGCTGCCAAAGACGGCCGGGGCGCTTGAAAGGAACCAAGACGGGTTCAGGGTTGTGGATTGAGGGTGTGATAGTCTAGGGGTTGAGGAGTTCGGGGGTCGATTTAGGCGTGTGGCTTACGAACCCATGTGGGGGAGATCGCTTGCAGTCGCAACTGCGCAACCACACCTCCTCCACCTCCTCCTCGTCCTCGTCCTCGTCCTCGTGCTGCTGCTCCTCCTCCTCCTCCTCCTCCTGCTCCTCCTCCTCCTCCTCTTCATCCCCATCCTCAGCCTCATAATCATCATCATTTCGGCATCAGCGTTACCATCATCAGAATCATCGTCGTTGTCATCATCATCCTCATCATCATCATAGTCATCAACATTGTCATCATCTTCGTCATCCTCATATCGCTAGTTCGCAAACAGGGGATTGTAGGAAACACATTTCAAAAAAGAACCGTATTGTCCAGATTAAAACCAACTAATTAGATCTTCAAGCTGCGGGCTGCGCAACCAACTCAGGCGATCCTGCATCCGACCCGGGAGTTGTGTACTCGAGACAAACCTGACCATGAAATCCTGTCGTACTACACTTGACATTTGACGACGCGACCGGGAGCCCCAGGCGCTGAAGTTTCAAAGAGAAAATCCCCAAAGGTTCGTGGAGCTTCATGTGCCGCCACGGTGCGAGCGGCACTGGATGACATTGGGCTCCGCCCGGAGGCTTCTCGTTGGAACCACGCCGCCAGAGCGGGGCTGTAGGGTTTATAATCAGGGATCAGAAACCCATTATCGTTCAAGTTGGCAATGGCCATGTTCTCTCCATTTTCTGCTGGCTCCATCCTGCTTTACGGCTTTAGACCTGCACGACACCAACATTGGTCTGAGAGATGCGATTCGAGAAAGCCGGTCACCAAAACGAGTAGCAGGTACAAATTGAAACTCATCTTATCTGTGAGGTGGCCTGTCGCAGGAAAGTTATGATGTGGCGGGAAACGGCCAAGCTGCGGACCTTGAACTCTTAATGCCGCAGCTCATACTGCTTGGGATGAACCCAAGCAGCCATGGTCGCAATCAGAAAATAACGTCATATTTCAGTTTGACTTACTGGTACCCATTCCTGAACCCAAGGCTTGCATAGGATGAACGGCTCACGTCAAGATGCACCAACATCTTTATCGATTATCATTGCTCGTCTTGCCTTCTCACATGCCGCAGTCCCTGGAAAACTGCGTCAGCGGAGGTCGTACACTTTGTGGGAGTGGGCGATGCTGAGCGATCACTGGATTTCGAGGCATGGGGCAATGTGTGCGGCTGGGGCTCTGGGTTTGAATTGTTGCAACCTCGTCGCTGCTGTCTATTTGCCCACCTAGTCCAGTGTACTATCGGTTGGGACTGAGTCGCAAGTAAGTAGCGGCTGCCTTTTCTTGCCATGCGACAGTCGATGCAGCAGGGTGCGCAGTGATGAAAGTTTCAAGTACCAAATGGTTGGCAACCGCAAGAGTAATAGCAGCTAATGGCACTGGCTGCTGATAGAACGTAGTACAAGAAACAAGTACCAGCAGCGTCCTCCTCCTGCTTCTCCTGGTCATCGACGCCGATGATGAGGTCATGAAGGCAGTTATAACTTTATAACCATGCACACCCACGGCCCCCCAACCACCCGCCACACACCACCCGCCACCCACCACTCAGAGAATGAACTTTATGATGAGGCAGCTGTTGAAGAAGATGATGGTGATGCTGGGGGCGGAGGCGATGGTGGTGGCGGTGCGGTGCCTGCAATCGCCTGTTATAAGAAAGATGGTAGTGTTGATGAGAGCTAGCTGCTGGAAACTGGTGGTGCCTAGTGCCTGGTGCCTGGTTGCAGTTGGAAAATGGGGGGGGGGGGGTGAGTGGTGGGTGGGTGGTGGGTCATGTGTGGTGGATGGTGGGTAATGGACGGCGTTGTGAATTGCTTTGTGGCAATAGTGTGGCAGCTAGCAGTGCGATTCAAGTATGTGGTTTTCCATTTTCAAAAACCCGAGTCAGATCATTATCATAATTATTTTGAGACAGATGCCCCCAATAAGCCTGCGGCGTGGCAGAGGCGCTGAGCAAAGGCCTTGCTCCAGGGGCGCGAGCAGTCTTGGCGTCGAGCCCAGCTGTTGGAAGCCCAAGATCAATGCTCCTCCTGCAAGGACGAAACTAGTTCTACTCGTATTGTGGCTAGTACACCAGTGGTGGTGGTGGACGGTGTCGTAGTCGAAGTCGTAGCAAGTCGTAGTAGTCGCAGTCATAGCTGCTGTCGTCCTCCATCGTCGTAGCAGACTCAGCAGGTAGTAGTGTCCTTTCAGCATCGTTGCCATTGTTATCATCATCCTCATCCTGAATCATCGCCGTGGTTGTGCTAACAGCAGGAGAATAACGGTATCGAAGGAAACACGCTCGAGGTAGGGCCACATGCTGCCGGCGCCCGGACGGAACCCAAAGAGGCCCGGCATGGCCCTGAGGGATTGGGGGTTAGGAGGTTTAAGGGTGCTTCGATTGGTCGAAGCCCCGGATTCGTAAGTCTGCTGCACCTGCGCTTGAAGTCCACTTTGCTCCACGTTGAGATGTATCGCTTTTCCCTCGGCTTGGGCCAAGCTTCTGGCTCGAAGACTCTTAGCTTCTCGCCATTGACAAATGGAGGCTACCAGGGATGGCAAGATCGTGGATGGCCGGATAGCACTCTCCACGGCTCTTTGGGACACCAGCTTTGAAATGCCAGGTCGTCAGGATGCTCCCGAAGTTGATGCACGTGATGCCAACACGCCGGACAAGTGGGTCAAGAGACATCCCGACATGCTACGCAACACTGGGATGCATCCTTTCAACTCGGAGCCACCTCTTAAAAACTTGCAAGCCGCAGGTTGGATTACACCCCCTGCTTTGTACGTGGTTCGAAACCATGGAGCAGTGCCACAGCTTTCATGGTCCGAGCATCGGCTGAAGATCACAGGTGTCCCAAAGCCGGTGGAGCTGAGCATGGAGCAGATTGCGTCGGGTGAGTGGGGCACCATAGTCTCGATCCCAGTGACCTTCATCTGTGCCGGGAACCGGCGCAAGGAGCAGAACTTGACCAAGAAGACAGTCGGTCCCTTGACATGCTCTAGCTAGACTCTAGCAGCTTTCCCCTAAAGTTCAGTTGAATGTCTTTGTTCTGCGCATTGGAGACTTTCACGCTAACAAGGATTCGATTGGGGTGCCGGAGCCGTTGGCAACTCTGTGTGGACAGGAGTCCGACTATGTGACTTGTTGGCAGCAGTTGGCATCACGCGGCCTTCCAAGGAGCATCGCTTCGTCCATTTTGAAGGTCCCTTGGGTGAATTGCCACAAGGCAAAACAGGATCCTATGGCACCTCCATTGACTTGGGCTGGGCACTCGACAGGGAGCGAGACGTGCTGCTGGCTTTCAAGCAGAATGGAGAGCTGCTTACCCCAGACCATGGATTTCCCTTGCGAACACTCTTGCCTGGTTGCATTGGTGGCAGGATGATTAAATGGCTCTCCAGCATGTGGGTTACTTGTTTGCAAGCATGCTGCTGCAGAGAAGCATCTTCACCATGTCTTGATTGCTAGTCGAGATTGGGAGAAGCTTCTTCCAGAGTTGGAAGCATTCAATACAGAGCGGCTTTGCACAATGCCATGTTGAACCTTTATCACATCAGCTCGGCTGCCTTAGTTCCATTCGCGAAACTTGAATGAGGGAGAGCTCCGTGAGAACGAAATTTGGCTAAAGATTACGGCTCCGAACCTCAAGGTCGAAGCCACTCTGCCCGTGCGTTCTTACATCTTGCGTTTTTTGTGAGGCTCCACCGCCTTACCCCGCCCCCGCCCCCACCACAATGATGTCAAGGCCCTTCCGTGCTGGTAGTGTTCTTGGTTCGCACTTGGCGGTCACAAGACAACCACAGCAACACATAACTCTGTGTCTCCAGGCCATGTGCTCGCCACCGCTTGGGCAAGTTTCAAAACGCATCAGCACGCCACACATCAATGCAGCAGCATCCAGGCGCAAGCCGCAGCAAGCATCATCATACATGGGCAGCGCATTTGCAGACATCTTCAAGGAGTATGGGACTCCAACGCGGGTCCTACACTGGCTTCATCTTGTTTTCTCATTATGGTAATTCCTGTCTGCGCGTTTCACGGCCTTCCGCGTCCTTGTTTTCAATGCCACGATGGCCTGATCCTCGTGCTCTGTGAAATTTGTCTGTTTCATATCCCTCGGTGATTATTTGCGACATTGTTGTGCATCCTCCTCCTTCACCCGCGACTCCGTATGTGAGAACAGTGTCGGTCTTCCCAAGGTCTCAGACAAGCCTTCCGAGAACCATTACCATTACTTCGACAACCGAGTGCTTCCTCCCCATGTTGATGCAGATCTTGCGTATGCAGAGGGATGGTGGTACAAGCCTGAGTACATCATCAACCACATGAACATCAACTCGGCGATGTTCGAGCCGCGTCACAACTCCTTTGTGGAAGAGAAGAACTTGCCCAAGACCCTCAAGGTCTCCGGATACGCTTACACTGGTGGAGGTCACAAGATCATCCGAGCGGAGATCTCGTTGGATTCGGGGAAGTCTTGGGAGATCACTGATCTTCTCAGGCCAGAGGATGAGATCGCAGAAGCTCGTGGAACTGACAAGCACTGGTGCTGGGCTTGGTGGGAGACCGAGGTTGACATGAGCCGCCTCTTGGATAGCTCATGCGAAGAGATTTGCTGCCGAGCTTGGGATTCCAACCAGAATTGTCAGCCTGTGCAACTTACTTGGACGGTGATGGGCATGTTGAACAACCCCATTTACCGCATCAAGATCCACCGGGAAGACAACAGACTGTGGTTCGAGCATCCAACTCAAGGCTCCATGCCAGGAGGCTGGATGACTGACCAAGCAGGTCAGTTCAACGAAAGCTTTGCAGTGGAGGCAACGCCGGGCAAGACTGGAGTTGCTCCGGTCCGGCCAGTGGCAGCTGTGTGGAAGGGTGCCAAGACCGACACTGTGAGCGCTGCAGGTGCCAGCGTGGCCAACCAAGCTGCGCCCAGGCCGACCAAGGCGGGCAAGTTGGTGCAGTCCACAGAGGAATGGCTTGCAGGAATCAGCATGGAGGAAGTTAAG